TCGTCTGCGGTCAGAGGGTCTTTGCTGCAGTCGGGTGGGTGCAGGCTCCGCTTTACCTTCTATTTAGTGAATTGTAATGCACTCTGTTCTTCCCAAGATTTCAATAAGTCGTGTTAAACATTAAAAAAAAATTTCTTAACACCAGTCAAGTCCAAAATGTAGGTCTATTTTCAGGACACATTATAATAAAACTATAAAAAAATAACAAGACTCAACCAAAAACTCCATCTCCTCAAAATTAAAGGATATTTACCAGAATAACGATCAGATTAAAAAAGAAATAAAAACAGGAAAACATGATCATTGAGAAATGAGAATCAGGGCACTATATTAAGACATCGGTACATTTAAATTGTATTTAGGTCTACGGCCTCGCCCCGCTGAACGAGCCCGGTCCCGTCTGATCTCGGAAGCTCAGCAGGGTCGGGCCTGGTTAGTACTTGGATGGGAGACCAGCTGGGAAGACGGGGTGCTGTAGGCGTAAAAAATAAAAGATAAGGGATTGTCAGCTGACAAGGTCCTTGCAATCTGTGAGGTCAACCAAGGGTCGCCTCGCCTAAAAAAAATAAAAATAAAATATAATAAAACTAATAAAACTGTATCTAGTGTAAAATTAGTAATATAAGTGCTTTAATTACTATTTTATACCCCCTCCAAAATTAAACATTCAAGTCAAGATATGGGAGGAACTCTTAAGGAAAGCAAAAGTTAAAAAAATAAAAACAACAACAAAAATAAACTGGAAACAGCTCTATGGGAAGTCCAATAAGACAGCAAAACTGTAGAAAGCTACTTTAGAGAAATAAAATATACGGGAATTAAACTGGAAATGAGAAAAGCAATATAAGAATGACTAGGGAGATTGTTTAAATTATAAAAGACTACTGTATACGATTGTATATTAATTAAAACTTCAATAAAAGGAGAGATTTTTATTAAAAGGGAGATTATTTTTAAATGACTCAAAAAGAAGTGGAAAACCTAAACAGACCAATAAGGAAAGAAGAAAAATCTAGACGTTACGAAACAATTATGCTCTAAAGGGCTGCGAGGCTGGGTGGGTGGTGAGCTCTCCCACGTTCCCAAACGATTCATAATCTCTGTGTCATCTAAATGGGGTGGGAACACTGAAGAAATGAAGAGATGCTGGATCGAGGTCACGACTTGTCACAACCCCGCTACAGAATTCCTGCCGAGAACCCACAGGGGGAAAGTGCCGCCCAGACCGGGGGAGGAGCCCCATCCAGACGACTCCGAAGAGCCCAGGACCCCAGGGTCTCCCAAGGGAGCTGCGAAACGAGAACCCGCAGATAGGCGTGGGGAGCCCCGAGGGCACCCCCACCAATGCCGGGACGAGGTCATCAAAATCAAACAAAATGAGCCATTTCTCAATTTTTTTGTTTTTTTTAAAATAAGGACTGGAAAGACCCTTCCCCAGCAGCAAGCCTGCGTGTCCCCAGCCCGGGCAGACAGAGTCGTCACTGCCCACGCTGCCGGAGGCGGGGTTCTGAGAACCCGAGGGACGGAGACGCGGCAGAGACAGCGGGCTCGTCTGACACGACCGTCTCTGAGCTGTGTCGCTGCAGACACGGAAAACGGGAATGGACCGGGAAACCGTGGCATAAACGGCGCGCGAAGCGGCTGGACGTCGACAATCAACTGCTTCACAAAATACATCGAGTCTGATGGCTCCGAAACTACAGCAGAAAAGGACGTCGCTCGTCGTAGGGAACAGACGGGAGCCCCAGGAGCAGACCGAGCGGTCAGGGAAGGTTTGGTGGCGGCCGGAGGAGGACACGGGAGGCGCGGCAGCGTCACGACAGGGACTGCCACACGCCCCGCGGACGCGGCGGCGAGTCCAGAGGAAGCGCCGCCACCTCCAGCCGGCCCCCCAGCGCTGGGGTGCGCCCCAACGAGCCGTCTCTGGGTCGCCGGGCGTTTGCCTCACGGCAGAAGGAACTGTCCTTCAGACGGGTGGGAGGCACCCACCGAACTGTGGGTCATCTGTGGCTCTGCGCTTCAGGCGCCTGCAGACGCACTCGCGACCAAGGGGGCACCGCGCCTGGAGGAGGCCCAAGCTGGAGGAGAGTCCTCGGCGGCTGCCGAAGTCCACCCAGCACTGAGCGGCGAGCAGCCGCTGGGAACCCCGAGAACTGAGACCCAGCCCCTTTGGAGACGAGTCACCGCCGGAAAAGCCGTGTGCAGGAGCAGCTGGCGAGGGCGAGGCATCTCCGGGCCCGTGGAGCAGGCGTGGCTGTCCCCGCCGCCCAGTGCCCTGACAGTGCGGGAGGCCCCATCCTCTGCCGCCCTCCGCTGGCCGTGCGGGGCCAGAGCCTCCTGGAGACATCTGTCCGCTGTCTCCTTTCAAGCGCACGTGGCCTTTGATCTGTGATTTCCGGGCAGCACCCAGTGCAGGTCCGGGGGCCCAGGTGACACCGACAGTGGCCACAGAGTCGTGAGGTTGGGCTGGGGGAGCGTGACCCCTCACGGGGCCACCTGGTCTCCAGAGGAGACCAACGGGGAGGCCGCGAGGCGCATGGTCGCGGTGAGATTGAGCGAAAGCCGACAGGCGCCCGGGGCACCCGCGAAGACCCAGCAACACCCAGAGAGCGGCCGAGCCAGTGTAGACAGGGGCCTCGCAGCGGCCGCGCCAGTGTGGACAGGGGCCTCGCAGCGGCCAGCAGTGCGGCACGTGCCACGCGAGGCTGGGGCATCCTGGTCTGGCAGCGGAGGCCGGGGACTGCGGGATTGCCAGCAGGCCTGAAAGTCCCTCTGTGACAAACTGCAGCTGGTCCTCCAGGCTAGAGTCCCCGGGGCCTGGGCCGCACCAGCAGAAGCTGAGGGTTGGGCCAGCCAGACCCAGCAGCCCAGCGTGGAGGGGCGCACTCTGAGCTGGGGTGCCAAGGTCTCTGCGGGAGCTCGGTGGCCTCAACTGGCCAGTGGCTGGGGCTTCTCCTAAGGCTGGTGTCCAGCGAGACCTGGGCTTGCCCACAGGAGACTCAGCTGTGACATAGGTGCTGACAGGAATAGCTGGCCTGAGTGAGGGTCAGCTCACAGCCAAAGCCCACCTTCTGCCCGCAGGTTGTCATACCTGGAACACGGCACCAAGTCCAGCCCTGTGCAGTGAGCATCTGGTGACATGCGTGTGCCGTGGCCACTGGTGGGAGCCCAGAACACAAGGCTGCAGCTGGCCCGACCCAAAGCCCAGCTTTTCTCCAGCTGCCCCTCCCGGCGCCTTGCTCCTCCCCGCCACGGGAACCCCACGCTTGTCCCGGCTCCAACCTCAAGGTCCTCTGGAGGCTCAGAGTGTCCAGATGCCATCGAGGACCGTCACCTGACAGCTCTGAGGCCCTGGGCTCCAAGCGACCACCGTGGCTAGGAGGCCTTGCCTCCCACAAGGCTGCGCTTGCTTGGGGGTGGTGGCAGGTGTTCCGGTGAACTCCGCAGCCGACGCAGAGCCCAGGGGCCCACCCCGGCGTGTCCCGTGGGGGCGGTGGCAGCAGTTTCGTTAACGGCCTTGGTGGTGACACCATGTTCCCCAGCGCGGCTGAACGGCTCACCATGACAGCAGGTCCACAGGCGCCAAGTCGTCCTCTGCGCGCCCTGTCCAGGCGGCCTCAGAGCATCCCCTCCAAGGGCTTATCACAGGGCTCGTGCGCCGTCCATGTCCAGATGGCCTGTGCCCCCCGCCTCTGCCCCCGACAGGCCACACCCACGCTCCGCAGGGTGAGGCCCTTTCACAAGAATGTTCTGGCAGAGGTGACGGCCCCCGCAGTGACTGGTCAGAGCCTGCTACCCTGCGTGTCGCTAAAGGCGGGCGGGGTGTGGCTCCACACTCCCTCCCAGGGCCCCCCACAGCGCCGTGCAGGGCTCCTGGGGGCCGCCTCACCCTCGGCCCCACGCCCCGGCGTGTGAGCAGATGGCTGCAGGCACCCGAGGCCGGCACAGAGGGACGGCGAGAGGAGCTCAGTGCCAGCACCGGGGCCACCCAGGGACCATGGTGGCAGCGCCGGGGTGCACGTTGCCGACGGATACGCCCTCCGGCTTGGGTGCCAGGCCGGCCAGCCATCTTCCGGGGGGGAAGCCAGGCTCAGCGAGGAGGGGCCTTGGCCGAGGACAGGCCAGGGCGCCCGCGCCTCACCTGCAGCGCCCGGGGAGCAGTCAAAAAGCAGCGGGGGCGCACGGGCCCCGCGGCCGCGCTCCGGGCAGCTCTCGCTCAGCAGGCGCTTCAGCATCTGGTTCTCCTTGAGCAGCCGCACCTGCCGCTTCAGGTCGGCGTTCTCGCTCACCAGCCTGCTCATCAGCTCGCCGCCCTCGGCCATGGCGCCCGCTCGCCTGCGGGCTCGCAGCCCGTGGAGGTGGAAGTCCGGCCGGAGCCCCGCGCCGCCCACCTTCCGCGGCCTTGTGATGTCGCCTTAAAGAGGCGGCGCCCTGCACCTGCCCAGCCGCGGACCCACGCCCAGTGTGACCGCCACGAAGGCGGGGGACGGCCACGTCCAGCCGGGCCAGCGATGCCTGCAGGAGGGCAGCCCCGCCGGGGACACATGAGGCTGGCCCGGCACCTGGACCCTCTCAGAACAGCTAGGACGTTGGGCCGAGTCCACCCCCACCCCCGGGCAAGAGCTGCTGTGGTTCGCCACGGGCCTCCGTGGGACCCGGGCAGCTGTCTGCACGTGGACGTGTCCCAGGGTGCCCTGGGACACACACTTGGAGCGGACGGGGCAGCGGACGGGGCACTGAAGGCACAGGGAGCCGAGCTCCAGGCCCCACGATGGCCTCCAGCCTCACGGAGCTCGGGCAGCCCCGGGGCTGGGGGTGGAGCTGCCGCCGGGGGGCAGGGTCCGGGCGCATGCCGGCATCCCCACGGACAGCGCTACGTGTCTGGACGCTGACCGTCGTCGGACCGGACCAAAGCCCCCCCCACCGGGGCACAGCGCCCAGTCAGCCACCCCTCTGCTGCTCCGCCCCCAACGCCCGCTCGCCCGCACTGCCTGGCCGGCCGCCAACCTCCAGCGCTCCTGGCTCCGGAGGTCTCGGTCCTGCTTCTCTGAAGCCATGCGGCAAGATGGGGCCCCTGCTGAGCCTCGTGGCCAGAGATATAGCCCATAAAGTGAACCAGCGTGTTCTCCAACCCTCAGCCCCAGTGCCAGGCCCCCCACTTGCCACTAAGGCACTCGGGGTGCAGGCGGCGGGTGCAGGACCCCAGACCGCCGGTGCCTGTGTCAGCGCTCCGAGGAGAGTGCACGACTCTGCCTTTGTGGGAGAGGACGTGGGACGTGTGGGCGCCAGATGGCCCTACATGACCCAGACAGACCAGCATCTGCACCCGCTGGCCCCCAGGTCAGAGGGCAGGGCCTCAGGAAAGGGGGTGGACACTGCCAGGCACCCGGGCACGAGGGGCCTTCCTGCCCTTGCTCCCCCACCGCATTCAAGCCCCCTTTCTTTCCTGGCCCACGGAAACCCTGACGCCGCAGCCCCTCCGGCCCGGGCCCGCCAACGTGCGCCAGCTCCGATCGGGACGCGCACGTCCCCGGGACGCAGGCCGGTCTGACTTGCCGCCGTCTGGTTAAGTGTCTGTGTCTGTGAGGGACACTGGCCTGGGTTTCCTTTCCTTGTAATGTCTCGGTCTGGTTTTGCTATCGAGGTCACATTGACCTCATAAAACAAGTTGCGAAGTGTTCCCTCCTGTTTTCTGGGTATTTTGTTAGTTTCTTTCTTAAATGTTTGATCAAATTCACCAGTGAAGCCATCTGGGCCTAGAGTTTTCTTCTGAGAAAGCTTTTCATTTCATTTCAATTTCTTACATACACATAGGTTATTTTAATTTCTCATCCTTCTCACGGCCACATAGCTGGCAGTGGTGTCTTTGAAGGGGCCTGTGCATGCCATCTGCGTTGTGGAACGCTGGCATTAAGTGTTCCCGACATTCTCTCACGGTCCCCACGCGGTCTGTCACCCCGCATGGGAGCGCAGAGGGACAGCGCTGGCAGGTGTCTGCAGCAGCGAGACCTGAGGCGGACGGCACAGGTGGGCGGGGAGTCGCCTGCTTATCACTGACAGTTGCATCCCCTTCACTAAGAAAACAAGTAACTGAAGTGGTCCACGTCGCCCTCACCCTCCCGTGGGAGGGAGGGGTCTTCAAGACGGAACCAGAGACACTGAGAGCAGGTACCAGGCACAGAGACCACATGTGCCGAGGACCCGGGCTCCAGACCCCTGCCCACGCTGCTCGTGAAGGCCTGCCTTTTGGCCTCTGCCCTGTGGACACTGCGCATGAGGCCTGTGACCAGAGGCCCTATGCTGAGGTGCCAAGAGGGACGGCACAATCGGGGGGCAGATGCGCCTCCCCAGCCCAGGGCTGCGTGGCACTGGCTGCCCCCTCCAGCACCCCTAGGGACGCTGAACACTGCAGCTGGAGGCCGACGGCGGCGGCGTGATCAGATGCTCCCGCCCGCGGCCCCCTAACCTCCGTTCCTTTTGGAAACACAGCGAGCTATGACGAAGACCCCACGTTGCGGGGAGACGTGACGGCGGGGCCGACCCGTCAACCTGACTCCCACGCCCCCGCCAGGCTCCGCTCTACACACTGTTCCTACCTTCAGCCTGAAACATCTTCCACTTTTCCTTGTGCTTTCATTTTTGACCTTAGGTGATTTCAAAGTATATTGTTTAATTTCCAAACACCTGGGGTTTTCCAGATCTTTCTGTTACCGAGTCCTAATTCCATCGAGGTCAGAGGACAGAGCCCATATGGTCCCACCCTCGACTCACCTCATGACTCAGCACGTGGCCCGTCTTAGCAAATGGCCGACACCAGGGGTCCCCAACCCCCAGGCCAAGGGCCGGGACGGGTCCATGGTCCCTCAGGAACCGGGCCGCACAGCAGGAGGTGAGCGGCAGGTGGGCGAGCGAAGCTCCATCTGTCTGCAGCCGCTCCCCAGCGCCGGAAAGGTTGGGGACCACTGGTCTACGCGGACTTGAATGTCGGGCATGCTGCACACGCCGGTGACCTCGCGCCTCGAGCCGGCCGCGGCTTCTGCGTCTGCACCGCTGAGGCGTGTGGCGCTGGCCCTCGGCGCTGGCCCCGGTCTCGGTCCCGCCCACTCTCGCTTCGCTACCCTGAAGCCATTATTAGGTGCACGCACATTTAGGATCGTCCTGCCGCGGTTCCGGCCACGACAGGATCCAGGGGGCCCCGAAGGTGGGCAAGGCGTCGGCGCGGGAGACAGTCGACTACATAGCTGAGGCGGTGTGACACTGTTCCGTTTTATTGTGATTTGAGTACAACTTTTATACTTTCTATTTTGGCATTCGATTATACTTTGTGGTTAAGGTAGTAGGGAGTTAAATTTCTGTGGTTAGGCGAAGCAGAAAATCTTATAGAGTATATTATTATTAATATTCATGATGAAATAGTCCATTCTTTTCTCAGTCATTAGAACAGAACTACCTGATGGAACAATCTGAACTTTTAATTCTTATATCTATTACGTAAGATACAGTTTGACTTAAGTAAAGGTGACAGATGTATTCATAACAGCAAGCATTTACTTGTGGGCATTGTTCTTTCTGCCTGAAGAAATCTTTTAAATGCTATTTGATTTATGCTATATCTAAAGTTCAAGCTGAACCTTTCTCATAGCTGTTCAAAAGTTTCCTTGGTGCAGTAGTGAGGAAAATATTTATAAAAATCAGTTTTACAAAGCTGCTTTCATAAGCTAAGTTTCTGTTCCTTTGTTTTTTAAGCACCAAGGAGATCCTGACCTAGCCAGCCTTTCTATGAAACTTAAACTACTATAAGGCACATGAATTCTATCTTTATTCACTATATGTTTACTATCTCTATTATAAGCTTCTGTATAAGGCAAAGGAAGATCAGGTAATCTTTTCATACTATTAGCCCCCCTAGGTGGATGCCAGAGTTTTTTATTTATCTACTAGGCCACAAAAGGAGGCCCTTCTATAGTAGGCACAGGGTTATGAGTAAATTTCTTATCCTTTACTAATTTTTCTACTAACTGCGTGGGAACAGGAGTATAAACTGGTTCTGGTAATTCAGCTTGTTATAATTTATTCATAATATCTTTAAGAGGCGCGTCAAAAGGAATTTCCCTTAATAATTGTTCAAATAAAGGGTTTACGCATTCTGGACACGTCAGGGTGACTAGAGCTGATTCCATATGCGGGGAATTTACTATGTTTTCCTCGGAGCCAATTTTGAGGAAATTCATTTGTATAGCGTTTACACTTACTAGAATTTGTGCTACCCACATTCCCCCTATTAATAGGATCGTTTCTAAGCCAATTATCCCTAAACACATGCCACGTCCTCGTTCTTGACGATGCATTCCTCGAGGTGGGGGGGGACCCACAGCAGACGCGTCGCTCTCAAGGGGTTTTTATTGCCTGAATGAAATTTAAGCCCCCAGCAGCAGTGACCCTGCTCAGTGAGGCGAGGTCTCCACGGAGCCCAACGATCCCAGTTCGAGAATCCCTGAGACGAGGCTGTGGCTCTCCCATCACGGGGACACAGAGCCTGCGATGGCCCCAAAGGAAATTTCCCGCATAATATTCAGAATCTGAAAACCGAAGCTAAGAGAATTTGAATCCGAGAATCTTCAGTATTTTGCCCAGGGCAGAGAACCTGATTTTCAGTCGGGTTGAGGCAAACATTTTCCCCTGACACAGCTGAAGACACAGCTGCTTATTTGCGAGCAGCTACTCTTGTTCCCTGAAACTGCGGTGGTCCAGGGTCACATGGTACTTGAGTGACAGGCTCAGAAAACCCCAGATCCACGACTGTTCCCAGGATGAGACACGACACAAGCATGACAGGCTTGGCCTGAAGGACCCGACATCTGCTCAGGTAGTCGCGTGAGAGCACTCTAATAAGTTTTTCAGTATAAAAGCATATTGTCACTTCTTTTCTGGAAAACCTATGCTTTGTCCAGTGACCTGGACACGGCTGGGGCCTTCCGGGGCCAGTGGCCACTGTGAAGTGTAGGCTGCCCTGCTGCTGCCCCAGGACATGGGCCAGAGGTGAAGTGCAAGTTCCCGAAAGCCACCCAGACTCAGTGCGATCACGACAGCAGGGTGCTCTCCGAGGACAGAACAATCCGTCCTAACGTTCGCATGGAACCACAAAAGACCCCGAACGGCCACCGCAATCTTGGGAAAGAACAAAGTGGGACGTGTCACACTACCTGATCTCAAACTGCACTACGAGGCCACAGTAACCAAAACAGATGCACAGATCAACGCAACAGAACAGGAAGCCCAGAAATAATCTTGCACCTATATGGTCACTTCATCTACGACAAAGGAGACAAGAACATATAACGGGATAAAAACAGTCTCTTCAATAAATGAGGTTGGGGAAACTGGACATACACGTGAAAAAAAAAAGAAACTGGACCTTCGTACACCATATGCAAGAAGAAACTCAAAATGGACTAAAGACTAAAATGTAAAACCCAAAGCCATAAAAATCCTAAAAGAAAAAACAGACAGTACTCTCTGACGCCACTCTTAGCAGTGTGTTTTTGGATATATCTCCTCCGGCAAGGGAAACAAAAGAAAAAATAAACAAATGGGACTATATCAAACTAAAAAGCTTGTTTCACAGCAAAGGAAACCATCAACAAAATGAAAAGACAACCTATCTAGTAGAAGCTATCTGCCAGTGATACACCTAATCAGGGGTTAATATCCAAAATTTACATAGAGCTCATATAACTCAATCCCGAAAAAAATCCAATTAAAAAATGAGCAAAGGACCTGAACAGGCATTTTTCCAAAGAGAGCATAAGGATGACCAATAAACCTATGAAAAAATGCTCGACGTCACTAATTGTCAGAGAAATGCAAGTTAAACCCACGACGAGATATCGCTCACACCTGTCAGAATGGCATCATCAGTAAATCGACACGTGCTGGCAAGGACGTGGAGCAAAGGGAGCCCGCACGCACTGGGGCTGTAAACTGGTGCAGCCACTATGGACAACAGGGTGGAGGCTCCTCAAAAGATCAATGCTGGAACCAGCACGGGACCCCGCAGTTCCACTTCTGGGTGTTTATCCACGGAAATCCAAGACACTAAAGTGAAAACACGTACGCACCCTGTGTTCGCTGCAGCATTATTCACAAAAACCAAGATACGAAAGCAGCCGAAGTGTCCATGGATAGATGACTGGACAAAGAAGTGGGACATACACACGATGGAAAATTAGCCTCAAAAAGGATGCAATCTTGCCATTGGTAACAACCTAGGTGCACCTAGAAGGTATTATCCTAAGTGCACTCAGTCAGGTAAAGACAAATTCCCTATGATTTCACTTACATATAGAATCTAAAGAACAAAATAAAGCAACTAATAAAGCAGAAACAGGCTCACAGAGGACAAACTGATGGCTGTAAGATGAGAACGGGCTTTGGGGGCTGGGTGAGAACCGTGACGGGGCTAAGAAGTACAAACTGGCAGTTACAGAATCGTCACAGGGGTGTGACGCGCAGCGCAGGAAACGGGGTCAGTAGCCCCGTAGTAACTAGGTAGGGAGCCAGATAGGTGCTAAACGTATTGTGATCACTTTGTAAATTACGTAAACGTTTAACCACTAAAACTATACTGAACGTCTACTGTAATTAGAAAGAAAATATTCTTTCTAATATTCTAAATTTATTTTCTTAAAAAAGCATTATGAGCAAACCCAGCAGGTCTCAGGGCTCCAACGCGGCTCCCGCACTGAACGAAACCCAGCAAAACATCTGGGCCAAGTGTCGACATGCAGCAGGCACCCAGATGCCCGCTCTGTGCCACAGCTGGAAGCCGGAGGGGCCAGCCCTGGGGGCTCAGGGCAGAAGAGGTCGGGGGGCAGACCTGGGCATCGGGGATGGTGCCCAAGGGCCAAGGGAGCTGTGGGAGGGAGGCCGGAGTGCGGAGTCTGAGCAAGGGCCCTGCCGGGTCCTGGGCAGGGACAGCTGGAAGCAGAGGGCCGTCCAGATGCCAATCTGCTGCCTGAGGGAGGACAGTCAGCCTGAGGGCACGGTGCGGGGCTGCTGCCAGCCCCAGGGTAAGCAGAGGAACGGCTGATGGCTGATGGAGGTGGCATTGGGGTGGGACCCCTGGGGCAATGCCAGGCCTGGGTTTTCTTCTCATCGAAGCTCTTGGTGACCCCTCACAGCTAGTCTCGGAAGGCCCATGGCAAACCCAGGACCCGAATTCCTACTCTGAGCCCCAGGCCCTCGCGCACTCAGTGGCTCACTGGTGAGAGGCATCACCCCGGAAACCTGGCCCAGGGCACAAACCAGGGCACGAGGTTCTCAGCAGCCACTAGGGCACCCGGGCATCACACCTGCCTGCCTGGCTGCAGTGGGTGGTAGTAACAGGCTGGGGCGCTGCTAACAAGCCGACAGCCTTGGTCACGCTTGGCTCCCTGAGCACTTCTGTCATTACGATGTGGCTATAAACCTGGAGGTGGCGATGCCAGTGCCCATGAGTGCTGCCTGCAATGCGGCATGTAAGACCTTGAGGTCAGAGCCAGCGTGCCCCGGCTGTCCCTGGTCCTCGATGAGCCCTGGGCAGCCACAGTGACCAGGAAACCCCTTCCTCACCCCACCAGCTGCTTGTGGAAGTGCCTGGTCCCTCAGCCCAACAGCCAGAAGATGTGGGAGGGGCTGGAACTGGGTGGGAGGCAGACAAGACACACGGCCCCTCCTGAGAAGTGTCACTAGGGGGAGAGCACCTGCCCAGGAGCTGGGGACCACGCCCAGGCCTCAGAGTCAGTGCATCTCACTCCCTCCTCAGGACCAGACCTATGCTGAAGGGCAAGCGTCTGAGCCACCAGGCCGCCCCAGGATCCCTCGGCCAGCGGGAGTAGGCGGCCGGCTGCGGGGGCTCCGTGTGCCGGCGACATGCCCCAAGCTCGCCAGACTCCCTTGATGCCCACCGCCTGGCAGCTACGCCAGATGCTACTCCCAGTGCCCAGCAAGGGGGCGGCCAGCGAGGGTGCTCTCGGGGTGCAGACAGGCGAAACGGCTGAGGGCCCAGATGGGGAAAACGTTCTTGTAGTTCGTGTAGCTGATGGCACAGGACTTGTTGAAGACCCCGGAGACGTTCTCCTGCAAGGACACCGGCACTCACCCAGGCTCCAAGGGAAGGGGGTGCTCCCCAAACCAAGACCGGGGAGGGGGGCTGGCAGGGAGTCAGTGTGGGAGCACGCCACTCAGCGATCACCCACCAAGTCCCAGACCTAGGGCCCTCGCCCTGCAGCAGCCCCGCCAGCCTGGCCCAGGCCCGCCCTGGGGAGGGCGGTCAGCCTCGCGTGCATGTGGGGCCCCGGCCCGCAGGCGCGACCGCCGCACTCCAGCCAGCGCTCCCTTCACGGGCCCTCGACCCCCAGCACAGCTTTGCCTTCAGCACAGGCCACTCTGGGGGTGTTTCCAAACCTCAAGGCCCTAAAGCCACGCCCTGCCCGCAGACCTGGCACCAGGAGGGGCCGCAAGACGGGGTCAGTGCTGGCGTGGACCCCCCACCACTGCGCACCTGAGGCCAGTCGCCATTGGGGAGCTGCTTTCTGAGCAGACAGCGGACACCTCGCTCCAGGGCCTCCACGTCGGGGTGCCTGGGGAAGGGGGCGACAAGCACACTGGACACTCTCCATGATAAGCCACCTCTGGCTGCAGCCAAACCCAGTGCCCACCCTCGTGGCCAGCACAGGGCAAAGATGTGAAATGCGGTGTGACAAGAACTCCTAACGTGTGTGAGGTGTCACCACCCGCAAGGGATACCTAGAACACCTCAAGGTGCCCCATGAGAAGCAAGTGTAGATGTGGGCAGGGAGTGGGTGGCCCATGAAGGCAGCCAGGCGCTGCCCTGCGCGCCCAAGGGAGTGGCCGAGCCTGCACCCTCCACTGTCCGCAGGCCCAGCTCTCACCCTCACTCATCTCGGCCAGAGGTGAGTTTGGGACCACACTCAACTGCGGGCGGCTGACGGGGGCCAGTCTGTGAGCCCTGGGGGTCCCCCGCCAGCTCTGCCTCTCGCTCACACTGACCTGGTCTAGCTTTGGGCATTTACGAAGTTTCCCTAAATGGCCCTAAACCCAGCACAGGCAGAGCAACACAGGCTGCGACCCTGCGTGTCCCTGTCATGTGCCTGCACACGCCTGCACGCGTGTTATGTGCTGTTTCTGCATGTGCCCACGTCTGCGTGTCCGTGTGCCTGTGCACACACGTGCCTTAGCACCCCGCTGTGGACAAGTGGCCCACGCGAGCCCTGCAGACGCTGTGCACTTCACCCTGGGCACCTGGGGCCTCTCGCATCCCTCGTCATCGCTGGGGGCTGGTGCCCCTGCAGGAGCCCTCTGGTCTGGAAGGACCTACGACCCGCACCCGGGGAGCCCCTGCTGCAGTCCCGTGGGCCTCACCCCTCCTGCCCTGCACTCGGGTCTCAGCCGCCCGCCTCCCCGGCCAAGTCGCCACGTTCGTTGTCCCTCCTTCCCTGCCCCCACCTGACGGCCATCAGCCCCATGAGGGCCCAGCACGTGTTGTGAATCTGGGACTGGGCGCTCTGCACATAACGCCGCTGTTCACAGGACTCGAAGTCCTCCCCCCAGCCGCCATCCGCCATCTGCCGCGACAGCAGGAAGTTGCAGGCCCGGGAGACGTCCATACAGGCGGTCCTGCAGACAGACACCAGACCCGCACGCCGTCAGGCGGGAGGGGCCGAGCCCAAGTGCTCACGCTGGCCAGGCTGGCTCAGGGCTGCGGGGCTGCACTCCAGGCTACTCACCATGGGTGCAAAGGGGCACAGATAAAGAGAAACGCTCTGCAGCTGGACACAGCTCGGACCAAGACCCCTCCCCTCCTTTGACCCAACCTGGCGAGTGTCCTGGACTGTCCATTCCCTTGGCAGCGGGGGTGGGTCAGGCAAGCTGAAGGCCAGGTGGCCCGGCAGACGGGCAGCCGGACCGAGCACTTTCCACGCAGATGCTCTTGGCCCATGAGCCGGGATGGTGGTCTCACATCACCATGGCAACACCGAAGGAAGGAGCCCAGCAGAAGCCGGCTGACCAGACCCCGCCCCAACACATACTCACCCGTCGTGGTAAGTCTGTCCCATGCAGGCAAAGGCTTCCAGCCCAAACCAGGTGCCATAGGTGAAACAGACGCCCCAGGAGCTGGAGGGGACAGAGGGAACGGCCTCAGCTCTCAGGCCCCTCATGGCAGACAAGAGGGTGGCAATGCCCTCCGGCTGGGGGGCAGTGGTCACTTTCAAGAACATCCGTGTGGCCTTCACAAACCACAGCAACCACAAAGCTCTGCGGCCGAGCCACAGACCTGCCCCTCCTGGCCCGTGGGGGGCGGCTCCCTCTGCAGGAACCTCTGAGCGAGGTCAGAAACAACCCAAATCCAGGGGGACACATGTGATCAGAATCCACACTCAAGGCGCAAGCCTCCAGGCACACCTGACACGCAGCAAATGCGGCCAGGGCGGGGCCAGGCGTTCGCAGGGACAAGGTCTCCCGGCAACCCGGGGCTGGCGGCTTCCTGCAGAGACCTCTGGCATGGCGCCCGCACGGGACAGAGCCCCGCGAGCACCGGGGGTCACTCACCCCTCCCAGGAGCCGTCCGCCCTCTGCTTCCGCCGGCAGTACTCCAGGCCCTGCTCCAGGGTCTCCCTGCAACACAGGACGGCCCGGTAAGCATCCTGGCAACACAGCCACCTGCCCACGTCCACCCACTCTGCGGGCTCAGAAGAGAGCATGTGCTCCACCTTTAAAACGTGTGAAAATAAACTCACAGTTCAGAGAGTTCAGAGGGGACACAGGTCAAGGCAGGGTAACTACAGGGGACAGAGGAGACCAGGGCATGCAAACACGGGGAGGGGCCCGACGTCAGAAGCTGCCATGGACAGGGTCGAAATTGCTGGGAACAACGTCAGGGACATAGGCTGCAGAAAACCACGCACAATGAAATTCCATAAAGAAAAAAAATTAGAAAACAGAAGATTCTGAGCACAAGAGAGACACGTTGAAGCCTTCTGAAGAAGGCCCGAGAGAAGGTACAATGCAGCCAAGGAGCCCGGGACCCTCGTCTCCCGGGCTCACCCTTTGTCATCTGTCCCCAGTGTGGGTGGCACCCGAGACTTGTTTATAGCCACCAGACTGCTGCTGAGTGGACTGGATGGCCCTCCTGTGACTGCATCCCATGACAGCCCAGCTCTCTCTGGCCAGCAGGGTCCTTCTTTCCCTTGCCAGCAGAGGCCACAGGCCAGAAATGAAGGGTGGCCGCCAGCTGACAGCACGAGACGGGCCCAGAGGCTGACACTCCACAGAGGTGGCAGAGACCTGCCAGCAGCCCTGGAGCGCCGGGCAGACCTTCCTTCCTCGATGCTCAGACAAGAGCCTGGTCAGCAGGCAAGGGGACCCAGCAAGGCCTGAACCCCACGGGGGCAGGAAGTGATCGCTGTGTGTTGTTTTAAGCCATCAAGTTTGCAGCAACATTGCTCTCAGCAAAGATGACGGGACACATGACGTCAGCGGTAAGAAGGGCGGAAATCAGGAAGTTAAAATAGAACTTCAAGCAACACATTTAAAAACTTTGACAAGATATACGATTCCCTAGGAAACTAATTTATTAGACAGCCCAAAGAAGAAATGGGGCTGGACAGCCCCAGAACTACCGACAGCGGGGCTCGGAAGTCCGACTTCTCCCGGAGACAACTCCAGGCCTGGCGTTCCGTGAGTCTCGCCAGCGGGCGGCAAACAGCACACACTCTGCTGAGACCCACAAAGCCTTTCGAAGCCAGGCAGGGAAAGTGGGGCGGTGGCCCTCGTGCCGCTCATTAACGGATGCAGACGCGAATTCTAAACTAACGTCGGAAAACCACACGCGGCAGAGATATATCAAGTTAGGATCGTTCCAGAAACGCACAGGTGTTTTAACATTAGAAAACCACAGTGATCATCTGACTAAATTAACAGATAAAAGATAAACATACAATCATCTCACAGACACAGAAAAATTGTTTGCTGAAACACAACACCCGTTCACCATGGGAAAAAAAAACAACTCAGCAAAGTAGTGAAAAATACTTGTTAACCGGAAAGGGAGCGACTCCCCCAAACCTACCCAAACGGCGGTCCCAGAGGAGAAACGTTAGAAGCGTCCCCCTCTCGAGCCAGGACCTGCGACAAGGGCACCACGTCGCTACTTTCCTCAAAAACCCCAGGCCCAGACAGGCGCTCCGGACACGTAAGGCAGAAAGAGCCGGGCCCCACGAACTCCGCTGGAGAACGGAAGGGACCAGTGCGCGGCCCAGCCCCCCTCAGCGTCCAGCAGCGCCCCCAGGACGGCAGGCCGGCCTCTCACCAGCACGGCTGTGACTTCCTCAACGAAACACTTCTCAACCTGAGTCCTGACTACAGAAAGGCCCTGCGGGCCCAGGACGAGCAGGGGCAAAGCAGCGTGGGATCTGCACCCAGCAGACGGCCCCCGCCTGGCCTCCGAGGAGGCCCAGGGAAGGGAGCCCGGCCCCCGAGCCCTGCCGCCGGCACCCTGGTGCAGGAGCGCGAGGCCACGGAACCAGGAGGGGCATTCTGCTGGCGAGTGTGCCCACTTCGCGACGGGTCACCCGGCGTGACGTGCAGGGTTTGGGCGCTGCTACGCACTGCTGCCAGGCTTCAAGGGGAAAAACACCTGCAGAGACCACCACGTACTCAAATGCACGTGTCTCTGACGCTGCCCGGAAAGAAGACGTGGAAACCTTGTCTCTGTGGTGAGACCGCGGCTGGAGCCCCAGCGGGGGCGCAGGACCACGGTCCTGGGTGTCAGAGCCCTCGCAGGAGGCTGGCTCTCCGCGGCGAGGCTGGCAGCGTCTAGGCCCTTGGCCCTGGGCTGGTGGCACCGGGGCTGTGTCCGAGGTGGCTCTTACCTGATCTCCCCGGGCCTGTGCTCCGGGAACTGTGTGTGGAAGACGGTCAGCGCCTGCATCACAGACGAGGTGCACTCCACATACGTGTAGTCGATCATGATGTCCCCTGGCAACACCAAGGGGGACGAGGAGTGAGCTTCACTGCGGCTGCCCACTTTGGCAATTCAGGCCAAATCGTGAAGGACAAAGCACCGTCACACAAGGAACCTGACCATCTGCCAGAAGAAGCAACGACACCTCCACCAGTAACCAGCCCAGGTGGCAGGCAGTACCTCCACGAGGGACCTGGAGGCCCCTCTGTGCTGTGGGACGGCAGAGAGCTGAACTGCACCCCAAAAGCCTTCCACTGGACTGTGTTCACAATGACAGCGAGGTCCAGTGGTCCTAGGGTCAGAACGCCAGGGTAGAGCACACACAGAACCAGGCCACACAGACCAGAATTGAGACGTGCAGGGGACACAGGGTGGGAGGGTCCACACAGACACCCCTCACAAGGAACACTGAGGAGAATACGGCCGGGCTGGGCCTGAGCTCGGAGACCCGTGCTGCCCCCACGTACAGCGGGGACACCACAGCCGCTGTGGAGGCCCAGAGATTTGGGGGGCGCTGTCAACTGTCGGAGCTTTGGGGCACAGCCTGCAGCCAGGGGAAGACTTTGGGCCTCTGGCCTGCAAACAGGCCCCCGCCACTCACCGAACACCTCCGAGGGGTTGAGCAGCTCCAGTAGGTGGCCCCCGCGCTTCGTCTCATAGGTGGCAAACCCCCCGTCAGCGTTTCTCATGCTCAGCAGCTGGAACCAGAAAGACGCACGCCCTGAGCCAGTGCACGAGACACGGGCTGTGGCCCTCCCGGCTTCGTGGCCAAGCTGAGCGCCACGGGCAGGGGCCGGCAGCGCCAGCCAGTGTCCACGCTGGGTCATGGCCCTTGGTGCCTGACGGGGCTGCAACTTCCATCAGCCACGTACGCTGGAGTGACCGTGGGGGACGCCCTGACACACACGCACCCCACCAGTAACCATGGGGGACACCCACCCCAACACACGCACGCACCCCACCGGTAAGCGGTGTTGGTGCAGTTGAGCCGCGTGGCTACAGGCACTCTGCGGGGGCTCCCTGCTCTCAGGCAGCCTGTGGACACTGTCAGTCCCCCGGAGGGCACGGAGCGGCCAGGCCTGTGAGCCCCCAGCTCCAGGGAGAAAACAGGGCTGCAGCCACCACCCTGAAGCCCACCCTACCCCATGGCCAGGCCAGGGACACTGACTCCACACCCAGTGGGGGCCCCGGCCGGCCAGGCACAGGTGCCCTCACGGGACGTGCCCTGGAGCTCTCGCCCGAGTGCTGGCTGACACGGGCGCCGTGGCACATGCAGCCGAGGGCATGGCTCCTCCCGGCGGTCACGGGCCCAGGGACCTCCACGTGCTTATTAGCAGCCTCGGGGCCTGGTGGCCACAGCCCCATGCCCAGCAAACTCACCACAGCCACAGCATCAAAGAGCTGCTGTTTCGAGGTATGTGTGGTGACAAAGGGACACTTCTCCTGCACGAGAAGGATGGACTTCAAGGCCTCAGCGGTGCAGTCGGCGACGATCCAGCCACAGTCCAGCGTGCTGAAGGGGAAGGCGCCCTGCGGAGCACGGGCCTGTGACGGGTGGGGTGGGGACTGCCCGGGCCACAGCCCCAAGCCACACACGTGTGGCCAGCCCAGCCTTCCGGCATGACAATCCACACAGGCCACAGTCTCCCACCGCCACCCTCGGACCCCGCTACAGGACAAGCACGAGAAAAGGGCGAGGCGCCTTCCCGACCCGAGGACATGGGGACGGTCGTGTCCCCGAGGACGTGGGGACGGTCGTGTCCGTGCTCACGGCCCTTCCCACCCTCACCTCCCCCGTCACTCCAGGTCACACCCTCACAGCTCGTCTCACGTCTGTGCGGCTGTCGGGAGACGGGACGCTCGTGCCCTGCACGGGGACGAGCCCGCGCGCGCAGCCCCTCGCGCACCACTGCACTAGGGACTGTCTGGAGAGTGCCAGGCACCCCGCACATGGTCCGTCAGGGCGACAAGCGTGGGGGCCCAGGAAGAGTGCTCCCCGAAGGCGAGGCCCCGCACGTGGCAGGCAGCCTCTCGGGGCTGCCGCAGCTGCACACCTTGCACATCTGGCGGTAGTACTTCTGGTAGTCGGGTGGGTTATCTGGGACCTGGGCGCACAGGAGAGAACAGTCACTGCCATGGGCAGACTCCAGGGCAGAGGGGCTCCGGTGCAGCAGGACAAGGGGGTCCAGGGATGTGGCCTCTAGACCACTGGTGCCTGAGAAAGCTCTCTGGGCACCACCCTGCCCACCACTGGAGCTGAAGAGGGCAGGGTAGGGGCGACAGGAGGACCCCAGGCCCCCAGGGCTCACCTGTGACATCTGCAGAAACTCGTGTGCCTTCTGCAAGCAGGACGCAAACTCGGGCCTGTGTTGTGCATCTGCCTGGAAGAGAAAAATGTGAGCCATCAGCCACCAGACAATGCACGGGTGGGCCTGACAATGTCTTGCCGCCCCCGGGACCAGAGACAAGCCGACCCAGGGTCTCAAGTGTCTATGACAAGTCAGAAAAAGACAACGGCGAAATGAAGTGAACAGAGGAAGCCACCATGGAGTGGCCCACCCTGCACAGCCCGCCCAGGGCTCTATGGCTCGGCTCTGTCAGGATCTGCCAGGAGCAGTCAGAGTCTGGTGGGAGCCTGGAGCAGCCCCGCCACCCGGTGGCCCGGGACACCCCCAGACCTCCCTTCCACTGTCTCGCCGGCCCACTGCCCCGGGCTGCCGGGCAAGACCCCGCCTCCACTAGACTGTTGCCAGATGCCTCACAGCCCAGGAGCCAAGAGTAAGGCCAGCAGTGCGTGTCTCTGCCAAGCTCAGGGGCGGACACGTGGAAAGGTCGGCCGATGGCTGGAGAGCAGGGACACACACGTACCTCCAGCAGAGCTTGGATGGTGAACGAGGTGTCCCAAACCTGTGAGCCATTGGTGCCCTGCACGCAAAGGGAAGGCTGTTAACAGCAGCCAGGGCAGCGCCCTCCTGCAGCCATCGTCCCCTGGGGACCGAGAGCTCCCACAAAGAGGTAGAGACCAGGTTGACACCTGACCCAGACCCTAAGCTCTGTGTAGCCCTCAAGCTCGCGAGGGCCTGACCAGGGCCAGCCCCGCAAGCAGCCCCACCTGTCTTCACCGGGCTACCAGCAAGAGCAGAACTATCAGGGCACCTCAGGACGGCCACCACCCAGGACCTCCTCCACTGCCCACCCACCGACGGCCTTTGCCCCAGGCAGTGATGACCAGTGGCCAGTGTACACTGAGGACGCTGCTGGAAGCTCTGCGTTTCCACACAAGCCAGGCAGGTAACAACAGATGAAACCACCTAGGGACCTAATAGCTCCCCAGCTCACTGTCCCCAGGGTCTCTGCAGCTGAGACAGGACAAGGTCCTGTGACGTGGCACCCCACCCGCAGGTTCACACACAGCAAATACGCTGAGGGGTGGAGGGAACAGCGCTGTCGCCAGATCATCTACAACATCCGAACATGGTGGGCTAGCCGCATAGCACCCCGCAGCCTGCGTGCAGAGGCCAGAGACGCTGCATGCCCTGGAGGCACGGGGGCCTGGAGGGCAAGGCTCTGCTCCCGAGGCCGCGCCTCCCACTCAGGTGGCGTGAGGGCTCTGGGTCACGCGGCCTCTCCACCGCAGCTCTGGGCCACTTGGGCTCCCACAGCCCCAGCCCCTGGGCTCCCCTGCTGTGGCCGGCAGGACGGGCGGGTCCCCCAGCCCTCCCCGCACCGCCAGGGCTCGTGCGGAGCGACTGCTGAACACGACAGACCCATGGCGGGCTGCCCCATGCCTCACCTGCATCTTCATGCCATCGAGGCCCAGCCTGGGAAGGAAAAGAGCCCGGTCAGGGAGCGAGGGCAGAGCTGGGGCCAGGCGGCACCCACGGCCATGCCCGCGTGAGAGCCGCTGGCTCGCTGCACAGGGATGCCAGGAGGCTCCCTCCAGGACAAGGAGCCCCTCCAGCCCCAGGGCACCGTTCACAACTGACCCGCCACCCTCGTCCCCAAGGCCTTCCCGATGGTCCCCGAAGCAGCCCTGTCTGTCCACAGGCTTCCTAGTTCTGCCTTCCGGAAATGCCCAGAGTCTGCACTTTGTGGTGGCTCCTTCCACTGAGACAGCCCTCCCAAGCCTCCACCAGACACCGGGCCCCTCACCGACACGTGACACACAGACACACGCGAGTGGTGGCCCCGGCACAGCCCCACGCCATGTCTGCACCAGGCTCGAAGCTACACCTGCCAGGGCCCTCACCAGAGGTAATCGGGAATTCTGGAGACGTGCTCCTGGAACACACTGGAGGCCGGCCCGTCCATGTGCCAGCGCACGAGCATGTTGATGGTCTTCGAGATCTGAGGGGACAGGCCTGTCAGCACCGTGTGGCACACCGGTGGGAAGCAGGCTGTCAACCGACACTGGAGGCCCCAGCACAGGCCCTCGGGCCGGTGAGCCTTCTGCTCTGACCCTCCTTCCTCGAGCCAGACCGGCCACAGTCATGCCCTAAGAAGCAGGGTCTCCCCGAAAGGCCAAAAGGGGCCGAGGGCGTGCACACAGAATGGAGGGCGAACTGCGAGAGGCACCGTGAGCCCAGCCGGTGGCGAGCAGGCAGAACCACCATGCGAGGACTGGAGCAGGTGTGTGGGCTGAGGCGCACAGGGTCCAGACCTGTGGCAGGGGCCACAGATCAGAGCCACGTGTTCCAGAGACCCAGACCTCCCCACGGGCTCCCCCAGGCAGAGCCCCGCTCCAGCCCCAGGGCACCGTTCACAACTGACCCGCCACCCTCGTCCCCAAGGCCTTCCCGATGGTCCCCGAAGCAGCCCTGTCTGTCCACAGGCTTCCTAGTTCTGCCTTCCGGAAATGCCCAGAGTCTGCACTTTGTGGTGGCTCCTTCCACTGAGACAGCCCTCCCAAGCCTCCACCAGACACCGGGCCCCTCACCGACACGTGACACACAGACACACGCGAGTGGTGGCCCCGGCACAGCCCCACGCCATGTCTGCACCAGGCTCGAAGCTACACCTGCCAGGGCCCTCACCAGAGGTAATCGGGAATTCTGGAGACGTGCTCCTGGAACACACTGGAGGCCGGCCCGTCCATGTGCCAGCGCACGAGCATGTTGATGGTCTTCGAGATCTGAGGGGACAGGCCTGTCAGCACCGTGTGGCACACCGGTGGGAAGCAGGCTGTCAACCGACACTGGAGGCCCCAGCACAGGCCCTCGGGCCGGTGAGCCTTCTGCTCTGACCCTCCTTCCTCGAGCCAGACCGGCCACAGTCATGCCCTAAGAAGCAGGGTCTCCCCGAAAGGCCAAAAGGGGCCGAGGGCGTGCACACAGAATGGAGGGCGAACTGCGAGAGGCACCGTGAGCCCAGCCGGTGGCGAGCAGGCAGAACCACCATGCGAGGACTGGAGCAGGTGTGTGGGCTGAGGCGCACAGGGTCCAGACCTGTGGCAGGGGCCACAGATCAGAGCCACGTGTTCCAGAGACCCAGACCTCCCCACGGGCTCCCCCAGGCAGAGACCCGACTAGAATGCACGTGCACCCCCATCGGACGCGTGTGCTCTACACGGCTGGCCAGCCATCACTGAAGGCCCATGGAGTCCCTGTGGCCCAGGGAAGACCTGGGAGCAGGGTCGGGAGGGGAGCTCGGTGACTGTATGCACTGGGTGGGCCCAGAGGACCTGCGGTCACAGCCCCCAGGAGCTCACAACCACTCTGCCTCCTGCAACTGCTACCCTGCTCTGCACCAGAGGTGGCCACAGAGCCCCGCACACCTGGCTGCACCTGGCCTCTGCCTGCCCCGCAACTTGCGGCCGAGTCAGGTCAGGAGCCTGGAGGCTCAGAGCAGTGGCGGTTCCCACCGTGGGGCTCGGAGAAGCCGAGAACAGAACCCGAGCAGCCCTGATGCGCTAAACTCATCAGAGAAGGGCAGACGGGGTCATGGGACATGGCTGGCCAGAGACCCTACAGGTGGCCTCAGAAACAGCGCTCAGACACGCCGGCTGGTGGGATGGGGGGAGGACCATGCTCACAGGTCGGGGCAGAATGAGGTCCTGTGGGATGAGACAGCTGCCTGCAGGGAGACCGCACTCCCAGCTCCGCAGACTGGCCACTGGGCCAGCACCTACCCTGGGCTGTGGCCAGGTGCACATTCCAGGCCGATACCCAGCGAGTGGGGACACTGACCGGGCCGATGCTCAGGCACTTGGAGAAGCGGTCGTCAGCTGCGATGTGCTCATACAGCATCTGGACTGCCCGCTGCCGCAGGCTGGTGCTGTGGTGCCGCTCGTACAGGTCGAAGATGGCTGTGGGGACGAGGGTATCAGCGGGCACCGGGCAGGGAGAGGAGCTCCTGGCCTCAGCCCAGACCAGGCAGAGTTCCCCAGCAGCCTGCCATCTTTCTGTCCTCCTGGCCCCGCTGTACCTCACTCCGTATGCGGTCCGCCCCCCACACCTGGCGGCCGCCCACCTCGCAGCTGTAAGCGGGGTCCTCAGCACTCAGGAGCACCCAGCAGGCACGGGGAGCACGACTGGGCCATCTCCGAGGGGAGGTTCCGCAGGGAGATGGGGCCTGGGGTCCCTGCCTGCTCTCCCCCAGGGAAGGGATGCCACTCGAAGGCCCTCAGCTGGAACCGGAGGCCCAGCTCGTTCCCAGGGCGAGGACAGGGCAGGCCTGCTGCAATGGAGGCGCACCACTGGCCCCGTCGTCACGTGACCCAAACGACAGGAGAGGACACTGGTCATCACCTCAGGGGCCAGCTGACCCGGGGAGACACCCACCGTACGCTGCACGGAGCAGCCAGCTGTGTGGCGTGTACAGGTCGCCGGGGGCCACGTTGTCCCTCTGCGCCGGCCAGTCTATGCTGGCGTAGTCTTCCACGTAGAGCTCCTGGGGATGCAGCCTCAGCACAGGGCTGCCAGACGCCCTCCCTCCACCCCACCCACCCCGTCCTGCTTCCCGGACTGGGGGACTGGGCTGGCACCCGTCCCACCTGGCACGAGCTCCACTGGGCAGTCACATAGGAAAAGGAAGGGTAGCGCCACCCCAACCCCAGGGCCCTGTGGGGGGCACGCGAAGCGGCAAGCCTCAAGGGTGCCCCGGGCAGCCCTCACCTGGCGCAGGCTCTGGACCAGGGGGTCCTCCTCGGCTCTCAGCCGAGTGGCATAGCAGTAGCTCATGGGCAGGTAGACCATCCGGCAGTGGCACCAAATTGTGGACGGATGCGCGGGGACCCAGGAAGGCAGCAGCCTGGGGGAACAGTGCATCAGCAAGGGCCCCAGCCCCCCCACCATTGCCACTACTGGGTCCCAGGCCTCCCGAGCATGGACACAGTGGACGGCTGTCCAGGCCCAAGTTAGCACAGCCAGCACTCATAGCCAGAGGGGTCCCGGAGTCTCCCCTCCTGAAGGGAACAGTGGGACCCTACTACGCATAGAAACGTTTCCTGAAAAAATGTCATAGTTTTCATTAGATGTCATAAAATGTCGCAAGATGCTGGTTGTGTCAGACGAGAAAGGCCTAGCGTGGACTTTGCTGACTGTTTAAATAGTACTGTACTTCTGCTGTAAAGAAAATTCTCCTATCTGAAATGTTCAGGGGTCAAGTATGACGCCTGGAAGTAACTCTGTCACCCACCAGCAAAACAGACACGGGGACAGACGAAACGGTGTGCACAGCCCAACGCTGAGGGAGCGAGGGGTGCTGGGCTCTCACCTTCTCTCTACTCTGCAGACGCTCGAGAACGAGATGCAACCATGGCCGTGCAGGCCACAAAGCCAGAGGGGCCCCTTCCCCACCAGGCGGTCTACAGGGCACCCCGCCGGCCCGACCCACGGCACCTCCCTCCCTCCTCCTGTCTGCCCACGGGACTCAGCCAGGCAGGGCCGCCAGCAGTCCAACCACGCCCCGCTCCACAGAAGGGACCGCCCCTCGTCTGGGTAACAGGCGGCAAGGGGTGAGGGCCCCGCTGGGCCCTGCGGAGCAAGCGCACCACATCTCTGGGAGCAGGGTGTGGAGGCCTTCCCAGCTGTAGACATTCAGGACGGCCAGCCAGAACTTCCCCCAGGACGGGATGGCCACGGCTCCGCCTGAGGAGAGAACAGACCTGCGTCACCTCCCCTGGGTGGACCCTTGGAGCCCATGTGGCCTTCTCGCAGGAGCTGAAGGCAGGCCTACTAAGGAGCTCAGCCCCACTAGCAGGCCCGACCCCATAGCTTCGGGCGGGACCTGAAGCTGCCCCAGGGTGAGTGACCAGCCCCAGGACAGGCGTTCGCAGCCCCACCTGGAGGGAGCAGCACACGCGGGCAGCTACCTAGAAAGGTGAGGGCCCAGGTGCCCACGGCAGCCGTGCCACAGGGGCCTAGGGAAGGTGACCAGAGCAGCGTGCACACACTCGGCCTCCTCTTGGGGTCACTCCTAGCCACCCCGGCCTGTGTCCCTGCTCTGCAGGCAGGCCGGGGCTCCAATACGGTATCGGTGACACTGTGGCCCAAGTTGGAGCCTGCCGAGCAATACAGGTCCCAGACACAGAAACACTGTCCAGACCCGAGGAGGGGACATGGCCAGGCGCCTGAACACAGCAGGGAACCAGAGGCTGGGGGGACTGGTTCTGAGCAGGAGCAGGCGTGAGGTGGCGGGTCCCAGCAGAATGCACACAGGAGGCCTGACCTGGCCTGCAGGTCAGGAGGACTCCCGGAGAAGGGACGTCTAAGGTGCCAGGTCCTGGCTGAGGGCTGCCATGGCGGCAGATAGGGCAGGATGGAAGGCGGGTCACAGGCGGCAGGAGCGCAAGCTGAGCCCGAGGTGGGAAGGGGCTTCAGAAGCAGACGGGAGCCCCAGGGAGCCTGCGCGAGCAGGAGGCAGGTGGGGGTCATCAGGATGCAGGCAGGCCAGACCTGCCAGCTCCGTGGAGCGGTGGCAGCTATGGGCCACCCCAGGGACGTGGTGACTCTCCCGCACAGCCCACAGAGAGAGGGTGTCCCCGTGGGCAGCACACAGGAGGGTGAGCGTGGGGATGTGGTGCAGCCCTCGGCCCCTGCTCCTTCCGTCTAAAGGTCGCTGCAGGCCACGCCCGCCAGCAACATGTTAGCCTGTTCTCTAAAATGACCAGAATCACGTGGTCACCTTACCTTGCTTTTTAAAAATCACTGGCCAGGTCGGACGGTCCCTACTCCGGCTCTGATGAGCCCGTGCTCACGGGTCTGGCCCATGTTTCGGCTGACAGTGCCTCTACTTCTATTCGCAAGGGCTTATTAAGCCGAGGTGACAAGGAGTCTTTACCCAGGGAGCACTGTGCAGGGTGTACCTTTCTCGTGGAGAACATTCCGGGCTCGTGCCAGGTCCGGGTCGTCGGGCCCAACGCCCAGGATTCTGAGGGACACGTAGTTGAGCGCAGTCCCAAACACTGTGGACTTGTCTTCAATGTGCCTGCACAAGCAGGAGACAGGATGAGAATACATCTTTTATGGCTTTTAAGAAATTAAGCAATGCTTTCTAGAAAATTCCTTAGAAAATCAAGAAGACTAGAACACCTTACACTGTCTTGACAATACAAGAAACCCAAAAGAGCCACTTCCAAGGACAACTCTATAGTTCTAAAACCGCCCCTGCAGGACCCACCGACCTCAGGCCTCTGCCCCTTCCCACACCTCAATCAGCAAGTCCCAGCTCAGGCCCAGTCAGCACTAAACCACACAGAATGCATGACAAGGTGACACGTTAGGGCAGGCTAGGAGTCTGAGGCGTCAGAAGCACCACTCAGGCCTTGACATTTGTCATGACATGCTGGGACCCGCAGGCCAAAGAGCCAGGCCCTTGAGCTCAAGGCCCACAGCTCTGGCTGAGCTGTCCCCCTCGGGTTCTGTCATGAGGACCAGTGGTGTGGACCTGGCCTGCCAGAACCCACGACAGAGCGAGCAGGTAGCCAACTGCCTTGGGGGAGGGCGCGGATCCCAGAGCCAGCCCCGCCAGAGAAAGGCAGGCCAGGATGGGGAACTGGCCAGCCCAGCTCCGCCCCGAGTCAGAACACCCCTTCTGCCTTAGTGATGACAGCCAGCCAGCTTTCACTGTGCCATGAGGGTCACGAGGCTCTCGATCGGTCACAAAACCAATTCACAGCACAAGCTGTGACAGTGAGCTCCCCTCCAATCACCCTGGGTCCACAGCTAGTCACTCCACCCCTCGCAGGTGTGTGTCCGATGTGAGGATGTGTGTGCACGTGCACGCACTCACAGGCCCCAGCCGCCGTCCGGGAGCTGCACCGACCGCAGGTAACGCACAATCTCTCTTCTGTACCCCGCTGGCAGAGGGATGCGTGCCACGTGGCAGGTGATCAGGAGGCCTGTGTGGCAGAAAGGATGTTCTGTGCTGGGAGTAGGCACTCAGCTGGGAGTAGGCACTCTCTCGCCCCTGCCGAGAGGGAGGTGTTCCCAAAGACCTCCTTCCCAAACATGCCTGCCAAGGCTTCCCCTCCTGCCACCGTCAGGGACTATGGGGCAGGCCCTGGCGCAGCAGCCACAACTGTGCCAGTCCTGCCTGGGCACAGGGAGCCCACCTGGCCACTCCAGGGCCCCACCAGCTGGGACACCCTTCGTGGGGTTACAACTGCTATCTATGCTACTGTTTTATAAGCAGTTTATTAGCATCTGGCGCTTTGCACATGGGGGCCTTGGACAATAATCTCTACACAGAGAACCGTCTCTTCCCTGCCTGGCCCTCCTGAGCATGGTGCTCACAGGTTCCCCCCAACCCCGGCCCCTGGCTCCACCAGCCACATGCCTGTGGCACTGCATGACGTGCCATGAGCGCGACCGGCTCAGACACATCACAGTCCAGGTAGCCACAATGGCCACAGGCACGTCTCAGAGAACACGCCCTGGAGGAAGGGCAGCAAGGTGCCAAGATGCCACAGAGGCTCACAGAAAAGAAGCCTCATGGCTCTGCCAAGACAGGCGACACACAGGCAGGAAGCAGAGCCAGCGTCTTCTCCTTCTTACAGGTGAAGAAACCGGGGCATGGAGCCCAGAACCAGTGCTCACCAGTGACGCACATATGGGCACGTGTGTCCACAACAGATTCTCATCATCCCCATGTCACAGGTACGGCAGCCAAGGCACCTGAGATCCTATTGCCTTGCCCAGGGTCAGAGTGAACCCTGGGAAGGGCCTCAACAGGCTCCAGGTGGGGCCAAGGGAAGAACAAGCCCGACCTGCCCCCAAGGACAGGCCCGCATCCAGGCGGCAGCCGGGCTTGAAAGCAAAGACAGGAGCTCCACAGAGAAAGGTCTGTGCATGGGATGACGTTCTACACGGGGCTGCAGGCCGAGGATGGGCACCCGGATGCAATACCCCGGCACTCCCCAACCCAACCTGTAGCTCACTGGCTGAGCTCCGTCAGCCAGCCCTCCGAGTTGATCTCATGCCCGAGCTGCCCAAGGAGAACTTGAGATCCCCATCCACCCCTGTGCCCGCCTCTGGCACCGCTGCACAAGCTCAACCCTTCACCTGCAGTGCCCCTGCCGCTCTGCACAGGGACTGCCCCGTCAGGATGCTGGGCGGGGCAGGCCGTGCCTTCCCACCCGGCCAGCACCAGCAGCAGGACAACCAGGGCGCCGGGAAACCCTCCACGACCCTCCACGACCCTCCACGACCCTCCACGACCCTCCACGACCCTCCACGCGAACTCCTGGGCAGGCACCTGCTCGCTCGCTCAGCACAGATGGCTACCAAGGATGTGACCCAGGTCAGGCCAGGACCCCAGACCCCAAAGATACCCCACAGTGGCCTTGCCCACAGGCCGGGGCAGCACCCTCCTACCTGGCAGGAGGAAGAGTGGGCCGCCATAATCACCCGCCCAGTGCCCATCCTCGGCCTGCAGCCCCGTGTAGAACGTCATCCCATTCAGAGCCCCCTCACGGGCTGTGTGGGCTTTGGGCAAATCTCTAAAGTAACTCTTCTGCAAAGGAGAAAAGAGAGGAGGGCTGAGGGGTGGGGGCCAGGCCAAAGACGCCCTCGTCACTGCCTGCTGAAGTGGAAATAATGAGAAGTTTCAGCTGTTTCCAGCGAAAACCTGAAACGCTCTGATGATGGTGTTACCATCGCAGCAAAGTCAAAGACAGTTGCACATTCTCAGTTTTGCTTTCCAGCCACACACGTTTGCAAATTTCTTCACAACCTCGCCAAGACACCTTAACTATAAACCAGGTGCCCAAGACCGTGAGGTGGGGAACCGATGCCCACTCAGACCCGGGTCTCTCACAGGAAGGGGCCAATAGACCGCACAGGGACTGAGGCCAGGGCTCGGCAGGGAGACCCCATGTAAACTGACACTCTTTTACGAACTGAATTTCTCATACGAAATTCATTGGAAGATAAACTTTTGTGCGGATAAAAACAAAATTAGAGCAGTTTCTTAACCATGACAGCAACGGAGGGATTGATGCAAAGGGGTCCATTCAATTCACGCTCTGTAAGTCAACTGACTCCCACAGGAACCAGCTTCAGTGGCTTGTGGCCCAGGCCTCACATCACATATCTCTTTTCACAAGGGAAAAAACACTTTTTACAGGCAACTTTTTAAAACTCTCTGTTGGTTCTTGGTGCTCCTGGCTAGGGAAATGGGATGCGAGCAGGTTTCTGCTGGTGTCGCAGACATTGTGTGTGACCAGCACGACCCAACACCTACGGTGTCCAGTCCCAAGGAGCAGGCTTCCAGTGCAGTCTGCTCCCGGCTAGGATTTTCCTCTTCTGGAAAATACGTCCACACCTGTCTCCCCCTCTCACTGCTGAGTCGCCAGCGGCTGAGATCGGTGGCCGGCTCTGTCTTTCGGGGCCCCCCTCTTCTACGCAGACACCTGAAAATGACCGTGCGCAAGTGAGCGGCCATCCCGCCTACCCCCGACGAGGTCAGAGCCCAAAGGGCTCACTTTCAACAACCCACAAGCAGGCCATTATTCGTCACCCTGCAAAATAAAACACTCTCGGCGCCACTTCTGCCTGTACGTACCGCTCCATTATTAGTCGTGGCGACTGGAGACGCCGGCCACCGGGACCTCCGCCCAGGCCCCCCGCCCTGCCCCGCCCCACCCCACCGGACTCTCCTCAGCCCTGTCCCCGCCAGGCGGCCCCCCAGCACACGCAGAGCCTCTGCTGGAAGACCCCTCCGCGGCGACCCTCCTCAGCTCCGCGACCACGCCCTTCCTTCTTGCAGGGTCCCGAGCGCGAGGACTCACGTGCCCTCCGTCATGATTGCCGCCAGAACCTCCACAGCGATGCCAGCAGCCAAATACCCTAGAGGGTGCCCGCGAACCTGCCGCCCCCACGCACTGCGCAGGCGCACATCTCGGACGACACAGAAGCACTGTGAGCAGATGCTCGAGCAGCCAATCAGAGCGCCGCGAGGGTGCGCTCAGGGCGCGTCCGGCTACTGCAGTGGTGGAGCACGCGAAGCCCCACGGCGGAGGGGGCGGGGCCTGGCCCGAGT